AGCTGTGAAAACGAAGATTACGGCGCACACACGGGGGCCCGTAATCTACCAGAAACCATCAATCAGATGAGAAAGGTCAGAGGGACAATATAATGAGGTGACTGCAATTCAGTCTGCTGGATACAAAGTCAAACACAAAAACACATCAACCCAATTAGAGTGTTTCAGGGGCCCAACTCGAGCAGACGCTCCAAGGACCACTTTTAAACTAGGACATGCTTATTTTCTCTTTTCTCTTTCTCGTCTATAATTACTAATTACTGCAATTCATCACTTTGTCACTTGTCACTTTGTCTCTTGTCTGTTACTTGTTTGTTAGTGCACTTTATGCTTAATATTTTTCTTTTTAACTTTTTAATATTTAAATTTTTTTTTAAACTTTATTCCCTTGTTTTATACTAACCCATAGCCTTAGCCTTATTCTACTAACCCATTGCATTAGCATTTCATTCCACTTTATTTTATTACTTGTGCACTGTTGTCCTGTCTGTCTACTGTCGCGCACTAACCGCCAAGACAAATTCCTTGTATGTTTGACATATTTTGGCTAATAAATGTTTCCTGATTCCTGATTCCTAAAGATAAAGAATAAATCATCTAATAAATATAGAAATATATTTTAAACAAATGGCTCGAGGGCCACGTTTTTTTAAATATATAATTTGCATGTCCATGTTTGTACGGTTGCTATTTCTTCCACTGAGGTGTTTTTTTCATTTGTGGAGTCATTCCTAATCACAGGAACATCTCCTCTTCATTCAACTCAACCACCATTACTTTTCTAGGAACCACGCGTGGAACCGTTGAATCCCGCCCGCAGTATAAATCAAAGACCATCTAACGAAGGTGTCGGAAAAAACCCGCGAGATCCCATCAAAAAGAAAACTAGATGGTGCACGCAATCCACCACAGTGCTCTGTATGTCTGCCAGAACGCATTGGCGCACAGCCGCAGGGGTACAAATTAGGCATTAAGCTCTGGAATAGTGATTCAGGGAGAAGACCCCCCCCCTGGGGGAGGACTTTTGTATTCATGACAGGCTTCATAGGTGTTGCTTGAGCCATCCTCCTCGCTGAGCTTGAGAGTCTGCAAGGGTATTCTCTCTAACTTGGGAGCGAGTATGTGGTAATATACATTTTTGGATCATCTGGGAGAAAATGACACCACATGAGGGGAGGATTCCAAGTCCGAGCACACAGTCCAGCTCATTACGAAGCTGAAAAATGGATTGTACGAGAGACTCTCTTTCTCTCCGTCCGGCCCCTCTTTGTTTGATATCTTCCCACTTGCTCTCTTCATTCTGTCACCAAAGACCTCTGTTTTCCAGTGGTTTTACGTTTCTATCACACCCTCACTTTCTTCTCATTTTTCAACGGTGCTTCTTCAAACCAACTTTTACATTTCACATGAGAAAAAAACAGGAAAACACCTTTTCTTTCAATTTTCATTGACACGTTTTATGATATTCAATAAATCAGTTCTTGTGTCCCTACAGTGAGGAAGTGCTGGCAGCAAAGACTTTCTTCACTTTTCCATTTCATTGCAGTAAATCAGGGGGAAGAAGACAATTTGGGACGTCTTGACGACTCGTTCAGCTGATTCAATTCTACATTTTCAGTCTGAGCCTCGGTTTCTCCATTGAGATGTCGGGATACGGCCTCTATATAGAGCTTTCCTTCCTGACATTCAGAGTCCATTTAATTGGATGCTCGTCTTATCTAAAATCTCGGGCTTGTGCATCCACCTTGAAGTGTGCAGAAAAACAAACCGTTCAAATCTGATGACAAAAGAGGAATTCAAGAAAGCCATTTGTCACAAAGGAGAAGAATAAATGGTGGCTGGCATTTACTAATATTACCTTCAACTTGTGACTCACAGTAAAAGGACAGAGTGCAGGAAGAACACATCAGTTAAATGCAATGTAAGGGGGAAATGATGACATCCACTGCAACTGATACCACATATCATTCTTCTTGGCTTTCTGTACTAAAATGTTATTCTATCAGTGTCCAAATGCTAAGATGATTTTTTGGTGCAGTTCATCTTTAGATAACATTTTCTTGCAAGATTTGTTCTACCATTTAAAAAAATGGTAGAACAAATCTTTTCAAAACATTTTCCAATAGGTACATAGGACCATACAGGTATGAGAGCGTTATCATCCTCTGTGCAAGGAGGCACATGATGCATCCCAAAAAGTCAAACTGTCTTTCTGCATTTTTGTTGGACCACTGATTAACTAAAAAACACAGTAAAAGTTCTAATTTTCAATGAATATTAAAATTATTATTTTTTAGATGTTATTTCTTAAATATTGGAGAATTCTTTAAATAATACATTTACTACAGTCTCTGACTCACATCTTGCTCAGTCTGTTGGTAAACCCAGAAATCCTCAAAGGAAACATCACAATAAATCCATCCAAGTAATTTAAAAGACAGAATTTAAAAATTCCCCCAAGCCGGATCATTTACTGAGAAAGCCATTAAGTGTGAGGGGAAATTAAAATTCATCATCATACACCATCAAAGTGTCGGTTCTTCTGCTTTTCTTCCTTTATATTAATCTAACCGGACAAAGCGCTTGCCAGCATCTCTTTTACGTCACAGTGCAAAGATGGAGGCAAATGAGACATCCCAGTCAATCCATCAGGCTCGTCTCCATCATCACCTCACTCCAGCTGAACTCTTCTATATCACCTCCCTTCCTCACCAGCGGCAAAGGACATTTGTTTGCCTCTTGAGTTTATTTGTATTTGTTTTCATTGTTAGTCTGAAACGGCGCCCCAACACCCACATTTGAACAACAAGGGAAGTACGCAGTATAAATCCCTTCAACCTTCCAACGAGCAACAGTGGTTAGTTTACAGGTTTCAGCTTTTACTATAGTGAATTAGATATTGGCCTGATGACTTTATGAGTAAGTTTGGTCAGGATGTCAGCTGAGCAGTCACGTCAATTTAGCAAATGAGTCAAATGAGTTTTATAAAGACAAGACAAAGACAAGAAAGAAAATGACACAAAAAACAAAGTGAAGAGAAAGAGATCCAACACAAAGGATGAAACAGCGTACTGTGCTGTTTGCACAGGGGAGCCTGATTCTGAGTGAAACTGTAAAAGCAGTGCAAGTGTGCATTCAGCAGGGGAGTGCAGATGTCTTTGGCAGCAACAATGTGTGTGATGAGCTTGCAGACAAGATCCAGATGGAAGGCTGAACGAGGCACTAGACAGCAGACCCATCTCATTAAGCTCCCGAGAAACAAACCTTTGCCTTACTTGTGTCGTCTTGTAGAAAATACTGAGAAGAGAGTCAACGGGAGAACCAGTGAAAAATATCTGTGTAATACCTCGATCTATATAAATATTCCATGAAATAGTTGCATTTAAATGAGCAAACAGTCCGTTTCTGGTGGAATTTAAGTGCTTTCATAATCTTGTTTTTTTGCCAATCTCATCCAGTGATGCAGCAATTTAGGGACCTTCTTTTACTGAAGCACTTTAAAACATGTGAATTATTAAGCCTTTTAATGGGCAAACTATTAAATCGTAAATTGACATTTGCCCTTTGCTGTGAATAAATTGTCTTTTGCGTGTGTTAAATTGAGGAAAGAGTTTGTGATGGCATTTAGACTTTTTGAATTGGGTACTACGCCTGGTAAAAAAAAACATGGCAATGATTTTCCATTTTGTGAGCAGAAGCCCGATCATGGCAGTCTGTAGTTTCACACATGATGAGGTGATTGTAAAATGTAACTGTCGAAGGGGATATAAATGTCAGCTACACTTTTTCTATAAAGATGGTACGAGCTTGAGACATCTAAATTGAGACTTTTACTTTTGTAAATTCCAACTGAAAACCAGAGTCAATGGAATGTATTGGTGCAGGTGCTTATATGACAATTTGAGGCGTAATGATACTGGCGGGGATATTTGTGAGTGTTCACCAAAAAGGTGATCTGCTTCCTCCTGCTGTGCCTCCTGTATTTTGGAGGGAAAAAAATATCCCTGAGGGAGGTTATTTGTCATATAATTGTAATTCTTTGTGCCACTTCAGTGAGTTGAAAGAAAATGGTGTTTTGGTCTGGAGTTCACATTGTTTTACGTCAGCATGAGCGATGACTTCCGTAACTGGCCCTTTCCTTGTGTGGAGTTTCATCAATAAACCTGATTCAACAATCCGAGCAGCTAAAAACCCATTTGTTACCAGATGTGTATCTTTATTGCTCTCATTAGGATGCACGCCCATAACCCTTTTTAGAGTTTTAATCGGTTCAGTGAAACAATATGTACTGTTGATGGTGATATTGATGCCTCTCAAGCCGTGAAGGGTACAGATGGATAATAGCCTCAGTCTCTGTGATCCATCATAACTCATCATGCAAAGTTATCACCAATTGCAAATTCCACTTCACCCATAAATCTCACTCAAGCTATGAAATGAGATGCCATTCGGCAGAGAAATACCACATAATGTCAAACCTGGCTGCACTGGAGTCCCTGGGATCCTGGGGAGAGAAAAAGAAACTCAAATTCAGAAGCAACTGGACGGAGTTAAGTTTCAGGCGGCAACCCATTTGTTTACGGGCCTTTAATCCCAATTTTAATCTAGATTAAATCCACATCTGGCATGTCCCCTGCATGCCTCCACGTCCTTCTTGGACCCCAGGCTGCTGACCACTCTTCTCAGAAAAGGGAGCATGACACCACCCCTTTTGGAGTCCACCCCAGGATAGAAAGGATGAGAGGATTGTTGTTTTTTAACGTGACGTCTGAGCTTTTATTTGTAGATTTGTGGTGCCAGAGTGTAACTGTGCACACGGAAACAAGGAGGTGATGTAAGATGGAGTTGTCATCTGTTATCTTGCCTTTGGCTCGGACAGCTGTTTCGGTCTCTTCTCTCACAAATATTCAGCGGCCGGACTCTGATTGAGCATCCTGATGTGCCAAAGAATTAAGACTCATACCCAGAACAATCCCAAAAACTGCAGCCCAGAAAATGGATTTCTCTCAGATTACTTGGAGAGCTTTTATTTGGAGCGTTGCAAAGTACACGTCATGGTTGTTACTGCTTATCCTCTCTTGCTCGCACACCCTCTCTCCAACACAAACACGCCATCTCTCCCTCCGTCCTCTCACCTCATCGTCGACTCGATTAAAAACAAGCAAAAAAACAACCTGCAACACAAACACGCCATCTCTCCCTCCGTCCTCTCACCTTATCGTCGACTCGATTAAAAACAAGCAAAAAAACAACCTGCACCATAGTATTTTCACACCGCTTACCTCGAGTTTGCGAGAGAGAGTCTTTGAGTTCGGGTATTCAAACATATATCAGAAAGATATAGACGGTTTATATATATATATGGCCCTCAGTTTCTTTGTATTTATCCTCAGAACAAGGCTTCAAGCTTTGAAGAGGAGCACTTCTTTAAATTTATGAAAGAAAATGATTAAGTATGAGACACATTTTCAACTCATTCTGTAGGCAATATATTAAAAAGTAAAATAAAACTTAAAGTTGCAGTCGGGCTTATAAGTATTTTCACAGTGGAAGGAAAAGCAACTTTGGATTGAATATTGCATGTTTATGGAAGCAGCTAATTACTAATAATGCTGCAGAGGCTTTCTGTCCAAGTTAAAGGGTTTAAAGTCTTTCCGTTTCTGTGCAGTCTACAGTGTGCACACTTATTCTATGCAGGGCAAAAGAGATGCTGTCTGTTCAATCTCCCTTAAATCCGTGCCCTCACAACCTTATTGGAGGTGAAGCAATTGTCGTTTGCAGTACTTGTTGTATGCAACACAGAGTGGACTCGTGTCTTCTTGTTCGGGTTTAGGTCAGTCGGTACTGTTCAGAAAGCTGCCGGCGGCAAGTTGTGGTTGTTATTTCCTGCAGCGTCGCCACCTTTCCCTAACAGAGAAAGAGACTCCAGTGAGTGCACACTATCCTTGTCTAGACGTAATCCCAGCCCGGGTGGAGCCGAGTTCTCCCCCCCTTCTACGCCTCCCGCCTCTTGCAGCTCCCCAGAGGCAGCGGCGGCAGCAGCCGCAGCCGCCGCGCACTCCTCCTTGAACAACCTGTCATGCTCCATCTTGAGCTCTTGGTAGGACCGGGAGAACATGTGGAAGATGGAGGTAGCAGGGAAGGCCATGATGAGGATCCCGCTGAGGATACTGCTCAGCGCTACAACCTGTCCCGGAATGGACCTGGGCACCATGTCGCCGTAGCCCACGGTTGTCATGGAGATGATCGCCCACCAGTAGGAGGCTGGGATGCTGCTGAAGTCGTGGGTGCCCGTGAGCTCGCTCTCGGCCAGGTGGACCAGCGGGGAGAAGAGCGTGACGGCCACGCAGAGGAAGAGCAAGAGGAGGCCGAACTCCCGGGTGCTGCGCCTTACCGTCAGCCCGAGAGTCTGCAGGCCGAGAGAGTGGCGAGCCAGCCGCATGACGTAAAGAATCCTCAGCGCCCGCAGAATCCTCAACACGAGGCCCAGCTTGTCCAAGTAGCCCTTACCTCCTCCTGGCTTCTCGTGCTCCAGGGACGGGTCGTCCTCCGACACCACCAGGGACACGTAGTAGGGAAGGATGGCCATGGCGTCGATGATGTTGAGCGGCCCGCGGAGGAACGCCAGCTTGCTGGGGGCCTGAACAAACCGCAGGAGGAACTCCAGGGAGAACCAGGCCACACACACGGTCTCTATGATGAACATGTTGTAGCACTTAGATGAACACTCGCCCTGAGGTAGAGGGGGAAGGCGAGAGGTTGGGGGAGCAAGAGAGTTACAGAGAGATCGAGAATGAGAGGAGCAGGAGTTTGACAGGGAGCAAGACGGATGGTGGGGTGCGGATGGAGAGGAGACAAAAATCCTGAGGTCAGATAATCATCCTTGGTAATCATTCGTAAATCATGAGTTCCAGTCACTCAGGAAGCTAAAGCCACTGCGGCAGCATTAATAGTTAATGATCAATTATTTTATTAAGGCAGGTTACAAAGATTAATGTGAATGTGATACTCAAGCAGTCAGGTCTGCATGCCCTCTAACTACAGTATCAAGGAAACACAATGAGATATTAAAAAATGCTGTTTGAAGACAGAGATTTGGGAGCATAGAAGCCGTTAACAGCGATCTGTCACTTTCAATTTTATTGTTAATTAGCCCCCTCATCTTAGTCCCTCTGCAGAAAGTATCTTCAATCACTGGATATATTATCGAGTTTTGAAGTCGTGAAGATATAACTTCCCCTTTTTCAGCAACAACTACTGAATAATACATAATACTTCACAATGCATTTCCATGAACAATGACCTTAAAATTAGTATTTTAAATCTAGAAAAAAACTTTTTTTTAAAAACCTCCCAGACACGTGAACGGGAGAACTAGAGGAATGGATTAAAAAAGTGGATGTTAAAAATGAAATTCCAGTTGTGTACTTTTTTGGGGTTAGACCACTTTACCTTACTGTAACAGGGACTCTTTCTACTGAACATGCTGTTCCCTAATAAAAGACACAATTCTTTTTTTGGTACCTTGTTTTTTGGACAAAAGAGAAAACAGATTTATATACTGTATGTTAACTTGTTGTTGTTGTTCTGATAACTTTTCAATAAAACCATTAATTACTTATTGAATTGTGCGCATGACGTTGTTAATCGATGTTAATCACAGAAAAATTATGCGATTAATCGATTACATTTTTGCAACTTTGCCCAGCACTAATATTAATAAAACTGATGTCATATCTATCCTTTCTCAGCCCATAAGTCGTCTTTTCTCACTGTTCTTCGTCACTGTGTCCCTAATTTGCTTTCCCTCCCTTTTACCCATCTGCTCTCTTTCTTTCTGCCCCCATTTCTTTTCTCTGCCTTCCTCTGTCTCCACCTTCTCATCACTCATTTGGTCTTGTGGTCCATGACCCTCTCTGGACGGCCATGCTCTCATCATTCATTCTCTGTTCGCCTCGCACACCAGCCACTTTCTGCTGTAATTCCTTCAATCTTTCAGAGTTCCTCTACATGTGAAACACAGCTCCCTCCACTTTTCCTCTAAACATCGTGCAGCCTTCACACGCGCTCTCACTTATCACTGGCGTCCTCACTGAGTAATTTTATGCATAGGGAGTTTTACAATATATGCAGTGCTATTTACCTCCATTCACTCTAAATGCATCTTTTTTAATGCTTTACTGCCAAAGCGTTATAGGTCATTACAGGAAGGGGTTGGTCGTCTGTTGCAGAATCATATTCTTTCTACATCCGGACGGCAATAGATAAATAATACTGTACTGTTCATTGAGCAATGATGAAACGACTGGACGAGGCACCAGTGAGTCTTCCTGCCTGCCTGTGATTACCAACAATAGCCAGGTTTGTTGTTCACGTTCATAGTGCTAACTTTGGGAGCGTGGCTTTGGAGCGAAGCCTGGACGTCCTGACAACTTCATCGCTAAATTTAACTTTAGCGATGCCAGCTATCTTTTGTAGTAAAATAACTAGCAACGTTGAGCATTGAACATTTTATATAACGTACTTGCTGTTTTTTCAAAATGTCCAACCATATTTTTACACAGCCTCTTTCCCCTTGTGTCCCCTTCAAATTTGATCAGTTACTCCAAGCTGCAATCAAGAAGGATTATCACGCTATATATAGCTAATATGGCAGAATGCTGGCAAACAGTTGCTCATATACACAGCTTTTGAACTTCAGAATCTGATTTGAAGGACTGCAGACTCAACGAGTTGAATGTCAGCAATAAAAGACTGGTTTTATTGACCTCAGTGAAACAGAGAGTACAAGAAACCCTCCCAACAAGCGATCAAAACTTCATTCACCTAGTTATCGCCTACGGCACAACGTTACAATGGGATGGAGTCATCCAACGCTGCAGCATCTACTGCACCACACCCCAACGCATCTGGGGCAGCAGCAATCTTTGGTCAGTATGAATGTGTAATCAATTATTTAACTGCACAACCTCAACTAATTCAACCACATTGGGAACCAGAAGGTCCGGTCACATCGCCACGCTGTACTGTTCACATGACAACTGCAGCTCAGATCTAGATCAGGAAATCCAAAGTATGGCAAAGGTGGCGGGAGAATCCCGTCCTCATTCCCAGGACAGATGCATCGCAGAAGTGTAAAGATTTAAAAGAAAGGAGACTGTGGTGTTCGAGACCAGTGTTTGTGACCCAAAGTGTTGTTGTCTGTCCTAATAACACATTCTTTGTTTACGTCCTTATTTTAAAGCCCACTCAAGGTGATGTCCAAGTGTTTTAATTGCTTAGTAGCTGAAAATCAAATAAAAGCAGACTTATGTCAGTGCTTTAACTTAGTTTTGACATCATCTAAATTTCACAAAATGTTCAGAATTGTATGGCATGTTTGGTGCTGCTTCATAAGCCACAAATTGCTTCACGATTTCATCATGCTCAAGTATACCCAAAATTTGACTTGTTTTCACTTAATTAAGTTGCATTTTAGAGGATTCAACAGAGACAAAGCCACGTTAGCATTCCTTAGGAGTCAAGTGAGTGAACACCAGACATATGAACGTAAAATGAAAGTTCACTCTCCTTCTTACTCATTTTTGTTGTTGTTTTGGCATCAAATGACTCCGGATACAAATATCTGGCTGTATAGCATCTACATGTTTACTTTATCTGTAGTACCAAGAGGGTTTATCAAGGCTTTTAAACTAAGCTTAAAACAAAAAGGCAATTAACTTCTGGACAGATTTAAGCACCGTGGACAAAGCAATCATGGGTTTATTTCCGGTCTCGTGTGGGAGGCACTGTGGCACTAAAAGGAGAAATTAAGTGAGTTTGTGAGTTAAGGAAAGCAATTTGTTGTTGAGACTTGTGGGAGGCAACGTCTCTGTTTCATGTTGTCAGGGAGGTCAATTGTCTTTGAGGTTGATTGTGTTAGCGTGTCTGAATGTGGACGCATGCACGCATGGACAGATGCATTAAAACTCCTATAGCAGAAAGGCCTGAAGGCAAACTTGTTCAATCTGACCCTTTGCCAAGTTACTTGAATGTACACTAAATCACAGCTGCGACCACGGTTTGATGAATATCCAGCTGTGACTTTGACTTTCTCCATTTTCAAGCTGATATCAGCATATATATGTAATTTATATAACTGTTTCTGCTGCTGAATCAGTTGGAAATCCTGTATAAGTAATTTATCTGATTTTACAAAAAAATGTATATTGTTCAATCACGGAAATTATTTAGTGACAGTGTGGGCCCCATGAAGGCTGTGACACCTTAAAAGTACCTTAAGGGGACACTGTCTTTAGGTAATTAGGATGCTTCTTTATGCAGCTGTCACACTGGAAACAGAGACATGTGGATGTGTGCTTATCTAACCACTTTTCAAGTGGTCGTACTGTTTCAAATATGGTTATTGTCCTTGGGACTGGACACTCATTCTAACTTTAATTTAAATCCCTGCCTTTTTCACAGCATGTCTCCAACTCTCTTCTCTCGCAATCAGGTAGAAAAAGCCCCCCTCCTCGGGTTTGGGCACAAAAGAAAAGACTCTGCCAATCAATCATCTCCATCTTGCACCAGACCGTGAACAGATTTTGCAACGCTGAACATAATTTCTCGATGCTGCTGTACTGACCTTGCACTGACTTTTAAAGAAAAGGAGGACGGACAGAAAGACACAGAGAAAGAAAGGGTGTGTGGTTAGAAGGTCCACCGCTGGCCTTCTCTAAAATACTGCACATCGAGTCACGTGTTCACAAGTCATGGGCTATTAAAGGGGTTGTATCATGTGACACCTCCATCCATCATCAGGCTGGTCTCCAGTAACCTGAAAGCTAACGGCACGTATAGGTTGGACGTCACTTCCTTAAAGTAACCATCCCCAATAGTGGGGGCAACCCCATTAATAAATATGTTATAAATAGGCACTATTCATAAACGTTTATTTAATGAAAATGTTATACTCTTTTATACTCTTCTACAGCTTTTACAAAAGTTGTAGTCCAGCGAATGTCTGTAGGAAACAACTTGGCTTTGGCAATTAGTGCATTTTTAGAACTTGCCTGACCTAACAATTTAAATAAGGGCTTTTCATTTGGTAGCTCAAGAAAATATTTGCTGAGCCGATAGTCTAGGATTAGAGTGAGAGGCCAGTTTGGCTGAAACTATTGTTTTCAGCCAAATTCTAATCAATACAGCGATCAGATTGTGACAGACACCAATAATCTAAACACTTCACTAAACACTCGGGCTGACACGTCTTTTTCTCATTTATACAAATTTGATGGATACCTCATGAATCACTCTGGGCCTTTGCATTCTAAATGTAAGTCATGTGAATATTCATTAATACTTACTTACTAATTAATTTAGGGGATATTTAGGAGATATTTATGTTATTCATAACATGACTACATGGTTATTAATACAGTTTCGAAATGGCAATAGCCATAATTAATTCATGTGGTTATGTAAATTGAGTTTTTTCCTAGAAATGGGCTTGAAAGCCTGAAAGGTGACGCCACTGTGTAAGCAGCTTGCTATCAATTGTTTGGTTGTTACTGAACACGGTAACGTGAGTCTGTGGGTAGTTTTGAAGTCGTCTTCTGCTTCAACAAACAAGATGGCAACAGCTTAAAAGTCAAACTAAAGGCTCCAAACAGTGTTCTACAAACCCTGGATGACGTCACGGTGAATACGTCTGTACTTCTTAAATACACAAAAGCACCCATTTATTTGCAA